CACCACCACCACCACTTCCACCACTGTCACGATCACAGCCATGTTCACCATCACTGCAACCTTATCTTCTTCATCGTTGCGACCTCACCGTCATGTCATCAATCAGTTCACACCAGCGCAAACCCCCTTTGCCACAATCACCAACTGTATCATCTTCCAATAAAATCAAGCCATGCTCATGCTCTTTTCTGATTATCGTCAGATCCTGCATTGCTATCATTATCATCGTTTGCCGTGACTCCCACCCGCAGGCAATCAACCCGCTCGGCTGACACAGTGTAGTACCGAGACCAGATGCAGTCACAATGATGGCCAAAAGGCGTGACACAACCGGTACCAGTAGGTCTTAGCATGACACTCCTAAGTGAACTAAATATCAGTGTGAACCACAGCAAGGCCATGCAAACCAAGAGTGGCATCGGTATCGTACCTGTCCTCCTGAACAACCTGCACCTGGGTGGGTTCCGCCAGGCGAGCTCTGAGTCAGATGTGGCGAGTCTGAGCCAGCGTGTAGCTTCTTTCCGCAGCTCCGGCTGAGGCTCATCTGATATGTACCTGCTCGTTAGGACCCTACAGCCAAAAGGCAACCGAAACCGATAGAAAACGATCACCCGCGGTTACCCGTAAAAATTGACAGCTTGTGTCCCACAACTGCTAGCCCAGCAACCCCCAATTCAACAAGGCCCGGTCCAAATTTCGGAGCGCGTATTCGGACCGGAAAGGAATTATGGGTTTCAGCTATCAAGACAACACTACATGGTGACTATGCATAGAAGGAGTCTTGTCTTGCTTGTGAAATAGTTAGTTGGCAAAGCTTAAATTCGACGGTTGGGGGTGCCCCTAAAGCTCCACATTCCCGGATCAATTGCAAAGAATGTGCACTGGCTCAAACACTTCCTGATCGCCTCCTTGCAGTTGTCCCTAGCCGCCTCATGAACCGGAAGCTGGTTTCTGCAGGACTGAACTGTACAGGAGACACTCGCGTTTGCAGTTCCAGGGGATTTCCAGAATTTGGAGACTCGAATCACTCGAATCCAACAGCTTATGCACTGGTTGTGGGTGTGGCGCCGCAGGGCAAATCTCGAATTTGTCTATGAGATGATAAGGAAGGTTAGGCAATCGGTATCGGGGTTGCGCTGCAAACAAAGCTTTCGTCTGAACATGTTTCAGATTTCAATCTATGGTGTGGTTGAGCTCTAAGCGATTGCACCCATCACATGCTTCCGACCCACGAAGCAGAAATGAACCAGTGGTAGATAGCAGTAAAGCGTATCTTCCGAATGCAAGCGTCCTACCGCTACTGCGTGTTTGGGCATAGTTTCCTTGCAAGGTTTCCTTATGCAATATCTTATTTGGAATGATTGGAATGTTGCCCTTGGTTGCTTCAGAACCCTCTTCACCGGAATTCATGCAGGTAGCACATGTACACGGACCAACGAGGGATGATCTGGCTCGGTCGTTGTCGGACCTCTGTTGGCCTGACCGGCCATGTCCGCAGCATCCAGCACTCATTCTGAACAGACCGGACAAAACAGGCGACCAACCTACAGTGGTTTAGATGGATGAGCTCTCAGCAAAGCAGAGCAAACGTCACCTATACATGCCGCCATGACAGCCTTTTGAGCGACATGGATTTGCACAGGCGTGTGCCACCGGAGAAGTGGCCCTCTTATGTTCAGCCCTTTTGTTTTGCCAGGGTTATTGGGGTTGATTGTGTTTCTCTTCTTCTCGACGCGATCTTGTGCCATGCGTGGAAGATACCGAGGTGGTGTATCACCCGTGCAGAATTCCAAGCTTTCGTGCGGGATGTACGGCGTCTCTGGCATCAGGGCAGGATACCGGACAGCGCAGCAGAGCAGAGCTCGCCTCTGGAATGCGTTGGATGGAAGCAGTGCCCGTAGTCTTTTACCGGCTGTTGCTTTTTCGTTCTTAATTCTTCCATCGCCATCCCTCCCTAAGCCCTAGCAGCCTCAACCCGGTCCGACAACACATGATGTATGCGAGATTCCGAAACAAACCATAGTTCTGCAGATTTCTGCAGTGATTCCTCAGGAATCATAGCGTCATAGAGAAACCTTGCTTTGCATTGTGGCGGCCCATGTAGTGTTTTTCATGTTTCTTGCTGGGCTCGTGCAGCGAAGGCTGCGAGAGAGCGACGGACCCAATTTGTACCAGGCGAGTGAGCTTGGGGTACAAGAAGCTTTGGAGCTTTTAGGCCTCGCCATCGCCCTAGGCTTCTTACAGCGTCGTAACTATCCTCACAGGTCCAAGCAGGTTGTCCTTGTTGCCGATGTATGGACCCCTGCACTTGCCTTCCCTTCAAGATACTTGGAATGCCTGTTCACGTTATCGCATCCCCCCTCTAACTTGCAGGTCAATGAGCATTATGTCAAGCCGTTGACGCTGGCGGCCGGTGGCATGAGCTACGCACTGATGAACCTTTGACTTGAGCCGTGTAGGGTCTTTGGTAACGAAACCACAACTAGGTGTTTTCATGAATAACGGACGTAGCCTACATGCTAGGCTTCAAGACTTAGCTCTATTCTCAACTGCCGCATACTTTGCGCCGCCTTGAAAATCGAAGACCTATTCTTGGCAAAGCACTGAGGTCATTTTGACATTGGCAGCAAGCCGGGCATCAAGACACCGTCAATCTGAGAAGATAAACATTCGGATGCAATGAGCAGAAAGGAGCAGAAATGAGCAGCTAAGAATGGCGCGCCTATAGAGCTGCCCCGCGCCAAAAAAGTCCCACTCTTAGTAGGCTCCCCTGTCAGGAGTCCGTCCGGCCCAGGAGCACAGCACGAGGAAGCCCTGGCACCACCGGGGCCTTCACTTGACCCTAACCCTAACCCGAAAAAGCCCCTCAAAACAACAATTGTAGGCCCTGAAGATCCCTGAAGCGAAGAAGGTGGAAAAGTTCAAACTCTCAACATCAGATCCAGCCAAGGAAGCATCCAGAAGGCTTGCTTTGCCAGGCCCTGCCTTCCTGAAATTGCTTTCTTTAGGTCGTGGGTACGAAGCTCCGGGATAATAAGTATGTAGGGGTCATAGGCCTTAGGGTTCATAATGGTTAAGGACTAGTGACTAGTATAGTATAGAGTTTATAGGATTAGACTTTTGCAGGATTCTGCACCTTTGGGTCTCTGGCACAGTGCCCAGAGCATCCACGGAGATTCCTTGCTTTTGCTGCGAAAGTGCGGCCGCATTTTCGTAGACAGCAGGCACTGGGTACGATAGTGGCGAATATTCTCAATATGCGGCCGGAGGTTGGGTATGCATAGCACAAGCAGTAGCAGAGGTATCGTGCAGGGGAGCACTGTCTATTCCACATAGCCTCACAAAGGCAGATACTTAGGCTAATGAGGCGAGACTCACGGAGCCGGCCCTGATTTCAGGATCGGCCCAGCCCAGCGCTTTGGTTTGAGCGCTGCCGGGGCATATGTCGGGTTGAGGAGTTTAGGGTATTGTGGTGCTCCATGTCCTAGTCCTCATATCCAGTCAGCAGTCGAAGCTCCAAGCTGAGAACAGGTGCAAGGAGCACCTGATATGCCGGTGAAAAGTTCTTGAACGTTCCAGGTCTTCATTTCCCACGCGTGGGCAGAGGGCCTTTTCGAGCTCGGTGACCTCGCACTTCGGCAGAAGAGTTCAGGGGACCTAGTACTCGTATTCGTAATACAGTATACTCGTAACAGCATTCGTCTTGGTACAATAGGGTTCGGGATTCAAGTAAGAGGACAGTCGGAAGCTGTGGAGCCAGAGTGAAGCTCGACTCGAACTCTCCAGGAGCCATTCTGTCAGCCCGTCTCAGCAATAGAACTGACCCATGCTGGCTGTAGATGTGAAGCAGCACACAGGGCTTCCGAGGCATGGAGGAGTCCAATCAAGCCCTCGACCCTTCAGCCTCAATCCTGAAATCCGTAACCGTAACCACCAAGCCAACATCGCTTGCGGGCATAGTTTTCAGCCATTCGAGAGGGAAAAAATCCATGAAGTCTCAAGCCCAATCCTCCGGACTCTTCAACCCTTTGAGTCCACAAAGCTCAAGGACCGAACTCCAAAACCCCAACCTTCAGCAAGCCATGAAGCGCAAGCAAGGCACCCAACCGCACATCTAAAACCCCAACACCCCCCCCATAAGCATTAACATCCCTCATCAGAACCCTTCAAAGTAGGTTCTTGAAATGGTCTTTATATTGCACAAAGAGGTGCCTTCTTTTGTTTTGAGAACCCAACCTGTGTCCAAGGTCCGCAGGGCCTGGCCTCGGCTGCAGGGTCTCCGAAATATGCACCTTGGCTCTTCTTTGAGCTCTTGCAGAGAGCGAGAAAGAGAGACAGAGAGAGAGAGAGAGAGAGCTAGAGAGAGTTTAGGGCTTATAGGGTTCAGGTTTTGGAGAGAGGGGGAGAGAGAGAGAGAGAGAGAGAGAGAGAGAGAGAGAGTGTGTGTGTGTGTATGACTGCTTGTGCTTCGTGTTAAGGATGGGTTGCTGCGTGGCTGCGGTGTATGTATGTATGTACGTATGTCATTGTGTGTGTGTGTGTGTTTGCAAGCCTACATACACTAGTCTATTCTTAGCCTATATATATATGTATATATATATATATATTCTATTCTTCTACCCCCGGTTCTATTCTATTGTATTGTAGTGTAATGTAGCATATTGTATCGTGACGTATTGTATCATGCTCTATGGTTTGATACTAGTGTACGTTATTCTAAACTGTTATTTCACATGATATATTATATATATATATATACATACACACACATATCACACCATGCCATGCCAATGGCATGGCCTTACAGTCATTCAACAAAAATGGGGGGTGTACTCTGAGGTACTGCTGCCTGCTGGCAAATCCGCAGAACCTGGACATTGGGCAGCTCCTCAGCGGTCCACCGAAGCAAAGCCCTTTCGCGAAGGCGATGCGAAGCGCATCGCATGTGCTGGTCATTCCGAACGTCACCGGGTCGCCTTTCTGGAAAGCCTTTTCCAGTAACCTTGTTGTCAGGCAGCCCTCATACTTATATATATATATATGTATAGATGCATTCTTGCCCGTCTTCCCTAAACTCAACCAGATGTGTCCCTTGGTGTGTATCTGTGAGGCCACGGTCAGCATATACACGAGGCTGTGTCTTGGCCAGTTGTAGGGACCCTTTTTGTTTTTTTTTTGATTTTGGTCCCGTACTACTACAACAATCAGGGGATCCTGTTTGATCTCCTTCCATACAGAGACCGAGGTGGTGCGTGTATGAGGCTTATCTAGGCACTTGCTGGCACAAGACTTGCCTTATGCCTACGCAGCCTCGACAGGTTGTTCAACGGTCTGTTATCGCATCCTGGATGCTCTTGAAGTCCAGTTTCGTTTCGGTGTGCCGTTATATGGAAGGAACAGGCAGCAAGCTAGTGACGTGATTTTTTGACAAGCGCTAGCAGATAGCAACACGCAAGGCATACACGGTCATCTTTCCGGTTGGACTGGGCTTGCTATTGGGATCTCTGTGGTTGGCATTCCTTTCTTCTCATTTCGCCCTCTCCCACAGCTTGGCCACTATGCTCATGTTCGCGAACGTCACGGGCACAGCATTGTGTTTCCTCCTGTCGCTATTGCTGAAGCTGACCGTTTGCCAGTTCGTGAAGAGGTGGCGACTCTGGATAAAGATGATGATCGTGCGCACTCTGCATATACTCTTGCTTCCCCTATGCACAGCCGTTGCCTGTGCCTGGTACAGCATGAAGACACGCAGCTTCTCGACTGCTTGGCAACATTTCCTGCACTATTTCATTCCATTGGCGCTGGTGCTGTTCAACTTGCTGCGCATCACTCAGCTGAATCAGCAACGATTGGAGGGTCTAGAGCTCTCAAGACAGGTCGCTTGGCCCTGTTAGAGGTTCTACTCGGAATCATTCCTTGGGCCTGAGAAGAGTGCTGTATGACTGACAGTACTGTCCATGTCTCCGTCTTCTTCTGGCTGCTTCGGATACTTCCGCTGTCCCAGTTACTGACAAGTTAAGGGAGCGGAGATGTTGATGAAAGCCCCCGGCAGTGCCCTGAAGATCCGTTTACTTGCACCTCCCCCTGAATGCTCCTCCGTCTTTCTGCGACGAAGATCGCTTGGCACATAGCTTTCGGATGATAGGAAGCAGACATCTTTTCAATGTCGTGACTTGACAGTGAATTTCTCTCAAATCCCTTCATCTGGTTCTTCGTCCCCCAGCCCTAACCCCAAAATCCCAAAGCCTTGTCCGAGTGTGAGTGTGAAATCCCAAAAGACCTCAACCCTCAGCCCAGCATTGACCCGAGGCCTCACATTTGCACATCCAGACACTGGACGAGGCTCTCCGACGACTGAAGCACCGATCCCCAAACCTTGGATCAAACCCTAAGCCCAGACCATTGGAGATCGAAAAAGCCGTTGTACTGGCATGGACCGCTGCATGTGAATGGTCCTGGCAAGGGCAGCTTCCCAGATTGAGCAGACCCACTTGACAGGCGGTAACCCCTAGGTTCCCGTTTACAGACCGCGTAGGCTTCTTGAGTGCGGAGAGGGTCTATACCTATACCTACACCAATAAATGTACCCATACCGGTACCTGTGCCTGTACATGTACAAGTATATATGCACATACATGCATGCATACATACATATGCACAGAATTACTCACATAATTACACGCAAGTACACTGACGTACATGGCTGTGCATGTACACCTTATAACCATTCCGGCAGAACCATGGTCTGCACGTTTGGGTCACGATATGGGTGAGTGATAACACACGGCGGTTGTGGCGGCACAAGCGCCGGTCGCGAAACACTTACATCCACACCCTGCCCACATCTGCCAAGAACTGCTGCATCCTCTTCTGCTGTCGATCCAGTCGCCAGGCCTCCTGCACCAACCCGATCGATGAGCAGCGCATTCGAGAGGACATTCAGGGACATGAGGCTCATCGGTTCAAGTTTGCTGTTACTGCTATTTACTGCCATTCTATTGGGTTTAGGCAGATCGCGTTTTTTGCGGCGATATATCTGCAGAGGGTTGGTAGCTCGTGCCTTCTCTTACAAAGTCCTCCGGTGCAGGCCGAAGTGGACATCACCATCCGTGTGCTTATGAAAGCCGGAGCCTACAATGATGCCCTTCGCAGCTTTCCAAGAAGCAGTACTTGTCATGTCTCTAGCCCGACAGCCGCACCTAAAGTTCCTAAAGCCGCGACGTACTCCCATGAACCCAAAGCCAACCATCCAGCTGCAAGAACTAATGCGTGGAAGTGCGTGGGTGCTTCGCGTTTAATGACTGATCTCGCTGTCAAAATTCGTTGCCGCGCAGTCTGCTCCCCAACTGTTCAGTCTCTTCACTTTTGTTTTTGAGCAATGCTGCCATCATTGCACATGGCTGGTTCTATGATGTCTGCCTGCGAAAATCAACTTAGTGGAATCCGAGACTCTACCACGAAAACAGCCACGCACCGTAAAAGAAGACAGTTCACACAGATGTTGCTTGCTTCCTGGTTTTCCAATTTTGCCACATGTGCATTGCTGCTCAGATTTTGGATGATCCAGGTCGGTTTAGGTCGGAGGTCGGAGTGGGCTAGACTGCTAAGTCCTCAAGGCCACGTCGTTGCAGGAGCTTCGTTCATGTGGGTCCAGGCTGTGGTTTACCCCAAATTTCGGTCCCTGAATTGGTGCGTAAATGCAGAGCTGCAATCTCCTAGTGATTATGCTTTTTCCTGGACCCCCGACATGAGCTCCCCACAGCGCTTTGAAGCCCCAACCCTTGGCTGCAACACATCCCAAGATGTTCGAGGTTGTGAGAGTCTGAAGCCCTAAAGCCTTAAAGCCACGCAGCAGCCAGAAGCCCAGAAGCCTTCAATCACCGAAGCATCAACGGCAAATCCACAGCTGTGAGATATATGCATATATGTAAGTACATATATATATAGATTATTATATTATATGTATATATATATAGATGTATATGTATATATATATATATATTGTATATATATATATACTGTATCATACACATAGAAAGACTAGATAGATAGATTGATTGATTGATTGATAGATAGGTAGATAGATAGACAGACAGATAGACAGATAGACAGATAGACAGACAAATAGGTAGGTAGATAGTTTACACAATATCGTATGTTCTGTCTTCTATACTCTATACTATATTACGTATTGTATATGTGGCCAACTCTAGGAAGTGCCTTCGAAGCGGGGTTTGACATCTCTGGAGTTGGCAATACAGACCTCTTGGCAAAGCGCCTTGCTATGCACTGCTTTCAGGATTTAGTGCTTGGCCGTTGTTGTGTAGGGTTTATGGTTTGGGAGTCTTATGAGTTCCAGATGGCTCGTGGTTTTCGGAGCCCTTGTTTAGGGTTTAGGGTTTACCCCACCCCCAAGCCCCCGAGAAATCAGTTGGCTCGGCGGCAAAGTGACATGTAGGCTGAAGCTTGAAAAGGCTTCACGTATTCACCTAGCAAGCGCCGTCTCCAATGACATGTAGCCTGAAACTTGAAAAGGCTGCACGTATTCATCTAGCAAGCGCCGTCTCCACAGGCTGGGTACGGCAACTATGCTCTGGATTCTGGCAATTGTGGATTCTGCAGGCTTCGCAGACAACTACTTTGCCTGTAACATTGGCAGCGTAAGCTGGCTCTACTTGTCCATTGCAACGTCAGTCGTGATGACGATCACCGCGCCGGTTTTAATTTGGCGACTCCACCTCCGCGGGCATCACCACAGCGCTTTTGCTGTCGCAGGGCCGCAAGAAGCACAGCACAGACATTGGGTCCACTAAGCAAGGCATCATCACAACTAGTGGCCATGAGTCGGATGATTTAGCCCAGGTTAAGGTGTGGATGAATTCCGCATCGTTAGCTCTGGGCCTCCCTCTTCTGGTGCAGATAGAAGAGCACCTGCTTCATGCAATGCTGCTCGGTCGGGACCTTTAATTTTCCACTTTTGGACTTTCGGGGACAAGTGTTTGGAGTTCAGGGTGGTTTGCAGTTTTTTTTTTCAGTTTGCTTCCTCTACCATGTCTGTCTATGGCTTCAAGAAGCGCAGGCATTTCATGGAGGAGGAGGACGCAGCAGCCCAGGCTTCGCATCACCAAGAGCATTGGTGCCCGCGGTGGTATGGATGGCCTGGCGCCTAAAGCTTGACCAAGTCAAAAGCATCAAAGCTATGTGAGCTGCCATGCTTTTTCAGGTCAGCGTATAAATCAACAGGCAATTGGACATAATTGACCATTCGCTGATATTCACGGGTCACGGCCTCCGCGATTCTAGAAGGTTTCATGTTCACAGGCCCTGCACGGCCATGTCGGGTGGCATCTACAAAGTGTTCCACCCCTGAATGAATTTGCCTGCCTCATCAGGTTCATGGTGGCATGCTTCAGACCCATCGTCTTTGTTCTGGCGGTTGTTGCAGCTGTGCCTCTTTGCCGTCTATATGGTCAGGCTTTGGAACAGTCTACATCTCGCAATGTCGCCTGAAAGTTTAACGCACGAGAGCACGAGGCAAGCAGAGGCAGAGAAAGCGAGAGAGAGAGAGTCAGAGAGAGACAGTAGTACAGCATGAGCCGTACCGAAGATGCAAAGCAAGTGGCACGCACTATGCATTATCCGCAGTGCACAGCTCAGTTAAGAGGGTCTGGATGCAGTTCGTGGTGTCTGACAGTACCCTGATTTCGGCTTGGCTGGCTGTGGGCACGAGTTCGCCCGGATTCCCAAACTAGAGGCCCTGAAACTGGCATTTGGCGACTAAGGGGTGGCGCTCTTCAGCGTTACGGGCCGTACTCGCAGCGTGCCGGGGCTGCAAAGAGCTGTCCGGGAGAACGGTCGAGCGAGTGAGTGTACGGCCCTGTCCCGCCATGAGTTCAGACCTTAGCACATCAGCACATCTGTTGGTGCCCCCCTACATGATGCGAAAACCTAACCTTTCAAGAGCTCTAAGGCTTTTCCTGCACATGCACTGACTGCTCTGACTGCTCTGAGCCTACAGAGACTTCCGATTCAGAGACCTCTGCAAGCAGCGGAGCGGCGGCGGAAAGGCAAGAGCGACAGCAGCTTTAAGGTCGCAATCAGACCCTTGAGCGAGATGCTGGAACTTGGAATGGCGAGTGTGTGCTGAGAGCACACCAGCTGTGACTGATTGTTGCTGTAGTTGTTTCTACCATATCTGTAGTTTCGACGTTTGTTGTTGTTCTTTGTTCTCATGTAACTGAGAACGCAGAGTCGCTCCATTGCAGCCTTGTGCTGTCGCGGGTTGCTCCGCTGGCACCCTGACGGGGGCGCCCTATTGTAAAGCTTTCAGTGGGACGTTGCCAGAGTTTCCAGGGACCAGCTAATTACAAGGCGGGAGTCTACCGCAACACCAGTGTGTTCGGAAGTTTTGCCTTGGTGCTCCTGGCCTGACATAACAAACACATAATATATAACGACCAGTAAGTATGTCCAGGGTGCTGGTGCTGGTCATGAGAACAGTAGCACAAGTAGCAGGATTATAATAGTAGTATAGAGTGGTAGTAGTTGTCGTCGGCGTCGTCGTCTCTTCGTCGTCGTCCAAGTCGTCCTCGTTTCGTTTCACTCGCAGCTAGGGAGTCCGAGCCTTGCATACAGATTCTGTCAGGACAACATATGTCGCCCCGGCTGTCATGTGACGGCACATACACGGATTGACCAGAACAAAACTGCCACCGCCTCGAGAGGCCCATTTAGCATGGCAGCTCGAGAACAGTGCCGTGGTATGTGCCCAGCGGCCCAGCGGAGCCTGTACAACTGCAGCTGTTGTCCATCAAAGGAGAAAGCAGCTTGATTGAACAGCACTCCCACAAGCAAACAGGGATCACATCGATGAGAGCGGCAGTAGTGAAGGAATGAGACACGAAGTGGAGGCCCTCACCGCAGGACTGTGAGAAACGCCACCCCATGTCCCCATGGCCCAGTCTGTCACTCACTGGCACGTGGCTGCTGCACCAAGTGAAAGCCAGCACTCTTCAAGTAAAGACGCTGCTCATCGGTAAGATTTGCCATGCCTTTGGCGTAGCCAACAAGACTGGTTCGATCTCCTCCACTCCCAGGAAACATGGCGTGTGCGACATGCGGGTCCAGTGTAATGTAGGGCAAGGTGACCGAGTGCAATCTGCCAGGGCCGGTGCGCCCGTCCAAATGCACGGAGCCATTGCAATCAGTTATTTGACTGCCACGCCAACGACTACACGGTACCAAGATGTTCTGCGTTCCTGAGTCGTCGTCGTAGTAGTGGCAGTGGTGGTGGTGGTGGTGGTGGTCGTCGTCGTCGTCGTAGTAGTAGTAGTAGTCGTAATTAGTAGTAGTAGTAGTAGTAGTAGTAGTCGTCGTAATTAGTAGTAGTAGTAGTAGTAGTAGTAGTAGTAGTAGTAGTAATCCCTTCCCCCTTATTATTAAAACGCCCCCCCCTAATATTAAAACTGGATTTC